TCTCTCTCTCTCTCTCTCTCTCTCTCTCTCTCTCTCTCTCTCTCTCTCTCTCTCTCTCTCGTGCTGGGGACAGAAGCCAGAGCCACCGCTCTCCTCATGGTGGCTGGAGGCGGAGAGCGGAAGGAGGGGCTAGCGAGGGAGATTTGCCCTTCCAGGCTGTGCCATATGACTGCCTCTAGCCAAGCCCACCCCCAAAAGCTAATTTAGCTTTGCACTCACCATGGAATGATCCACGGGTGAGTGGCACCCCATGGTCCACCCACCCTCCAAAGCTCCACCTTTGAGTGTATGAAGCTTTGGGGGACATCTAGGTCTATGCCACAATATGCCCCCACTTAGCTTATTTTAATAAAGTTCTATCTTATTTCCAAGCTCTTGTATTTAGGCTATAAGTATGATTCTCACTTGAACTTACCAGTAAAATGGGTTTTTTAGACTTTGCATAAAAAGCAAGTTACTGGACCCCAAGCGCACGTCACGTCCTGTGCCGTGGTCTGGGATCTGAGATGACTGTGCTTGTTTGGCTCTCGAGGGACTCCTAGTGAACAGGGCTTGTTGGGGAAGGTGGTTGTTTCTTTGACTGCGGCTTGGCTTTAGTTTCCTGCAGTAGGAGGCTTTGCTTTCCAGGCTTATTCTTATGAGATACAAACTTTGCTTAGGCAAGTTTTGGATTTTCCACTTTCCATCCTCTTTGAACTCTGTCCCTCACATATTCTTTCTGGAGTTTAAAAGATGCGGCAGAGTCCACTCAGGAACCACACAGACCACCTCGTCAGTGCTGACCTTGGGCAACCCCGTGTCACGAGCGCAGCTGTGGCCAACGCTCCGTGCCTGGCCGTGGCGTGGGCGACAAACAGCTGGGGAAAGCTGGCTCTGCATTTCAGCCTTTCCCGTCTTGGTCTTGAACACCTGAACATCCTCTTGTCTTTTACATTTAAAATAGGAAGATTTACCTCATATCCAGCATAAGACAGCTTAAAACTGGCCATTATAGAACTTTTCAAGCAGAATTGTGTGGCTAGAGAGAAACGAATGGTGTGGAGTGTGAGTTTGCAGGAGCCGCCGTGACCGAGGGCGTGGACGAAGGGTGTGTCCACCCCCCGCCCCGCCCTTGGCCTGGAAATGGCCACGGTCTTGAGTCCTTGAGGTAGTTTTCTTCTGTGTGCCTGCACGCAAATGTGCTCACCCGCGAGGGCCAGCCTTCTCAGCTTAGGGGGCCGCACGCCTCGCCGCCTCGGTGGCACTCTCCGGGTACCCACGCAACGTTGCAGATGTTCTGAGGGGCCAACACCTGAATTTTGGCAGGGGGCAAGAGATGCTGTCTGTGGTCCTGAAGTGACCCAGGGCTCAGGGGCATGTGCCAAGTGCCATACTTTCATGAGTGCTGATTTATTTACCCTTCACAAAATTGTCACACTAAAAGAACGCTGTGTCCCACCTCATATGTGAGAAAACCCGAGACTAAGATCATCCACCTGTCCTGTGTGAAGCCAGAAAGTTGCAGGATCTGCATGAGCTTTTGCTTTTTTTTTTTTTTTTTTTTGGTACTGGGGATCAAACTCGGGACCTTGTGCTTACCAGGCAGGCACTTAAGTCGCTAAGCTACCTCCCCGGCCCCTCTGTGGCTTAAATCTCTGTGATCTGCTCTGTCATCTGGCTCCACATTTTTCCTCTTACTCATTTTGCTTCTTTGTAAATGTAGCATTTGGACCCTAAACAGAGCCCAAGCAAGGTTTTCTCTATTGGCACAACTTATGTGGGCCCAAGAAAATGCATTTACCTGCCTCTGGCTCCCGGTCCCCAGCCAGGATCTGCGCCTTCTCTGTTTCTTTCTCCTTCCCTAGCAGGACCCAGTAAGGTGTTGCTCCCGGGTCCCCACTGCACCCCACGCCTCTCATCACTGTCCCTCAGTAATGGGGGTGGCTGCATCCGGGCGGGGTTGGCAGACTTCATCCTGTGCCACTCTTTAGATCACCTCGGAGGGCAGGACTCCTCGTAGGTAGGAGATGGTGCTCCGAGTGCAGGCTTTCTCTTTTGGTTTGAGCCAAAGAATGGAAAAAGAAATGAAAAGGCTGCAGTGGGCAGAGCAGGGGCTCCTGGCGAGTGATGAAGATGCCACCATCTCTGGCTTGGGGAGCCATGTGGTTGCGAATGAGATCAGAAGAGCCAGGCTGAGCGCGGCTGCAGCTGTGCTCACTGCCAGCGTGTTATGCGCAGTAAATGAAACTGGCGTGTGTAATTGGGAAATCGCTCAGCCACATCCGCAAACAGCTTGCAATTGACTTAAACATTTGAAAATGCATGCTCCACACCAAAAAATGAAGACAACAGCTTTCCTAATACCACAGTGTGCAGGACCTGCTGCCCCAAACAATGAGGTTGAGTCCCTGCTGCACCGCAGAGGACCAACACAGTTTCACTTATCACATTGCAGGCTGCTGCCAAGGTCAAAGGGGTCACGTGCAGAGCCTTGCTAGCTATGGAGGGCTGTACCTTTGTGAGCCACTTTCATCATTATTTGTAGCCCAAATCTATCGGAACCCACACGTCCTGTTGGACTCTCGGCTTCCTGAGCCGCCCGGGTCCCCGTTCTCCTCCTCCCTTACTTCCTGCAGCTTTTTGGGCATTTGCAAATGTCTTAGAACCACCCTGCAAAATGGGCAAAGAGCAGCTCAAAAGTCTTACTTTCATGTATTTATGGACATACGGGGGAGAAAGTTGAATCTAGCCTAGTTTACGAAGAGCGTGACTACAGAGCAAAAGCGAGCTGTCACATTCTAAAGGCGCTCAGCCCTTCCGGGGAAATCACCTGTCATCTGGTCTCAAGCCAGCCTGGCAGACTCCCAGGCCGTGCTGCCACTGCGAATCTTTCTGAGTGCCGTGAGAGCGGTGGGAACACTGCAGCTGCACCCCGCGCTGCCACGGCCCCGCGTCAAGTGCCGGCGCGGAACATGCGGCAAGGCTCTGTCCTCCACGACACAGCGCCCGCTGGAGAACCCTGAGTCACCGCCGCAGAAGGGTCACGAATCCAGTCTCTGACGCTAGAGATGCATGTCTGACCCACGTCACTGAATTCTGTGCTCTCAGGTGCTTCCATTTCCTGCAGATGGCTCAAGCTTATGCTTCTTTGTGGCAGAATAGTACTCCACTATGTATAGATACCACATTTTCTCTATCCATTTATCTGTTAATGGACACTGAGGCCATTTCCAAGGCCTGGCTGCTGCTGCACACTGTGCTGCTATAAACACGGGTATGCACGCATCTCTGCAATGTGCCTTTAACTCTTTCAGGAAGATGCCTAGAAGGGACCCAGCCGAGTCAGGTGGGCTTTCTAGTTTCTGTCTTTTTGAAGAATTTTCACACTAAGCTGGCTTTTGTGGTTTTGAGTTTCCTGAGGAAGCTAGCTAGAGGAAGGGAGCTGGCTTGGGATGGAAGTACTGTGAGACAGCAGGGCACTGGCTTCCTGGCATGCGACGGGGGCAGCTGGTGGCCCCAGTGCTGAGCTCTCCTGGGGAATCCGATAACTTCAGCCAAGTGTAAGGATTGTACTGACAACCGCATCTGCTGCGCCAGAGCAAGTGACTCAATGCCAGCACCCTTTCTGCACACTCTCCTTGCTCGCTTGCACAAGACGTGGTTGGCACCAGGCAATCTATTGTTCTGACAAATGCTAATCAGACACAGGGTACTGATTTTAAATTCAAATTCACTGAACTATTAAGTTTCCTAACATCATGTGCTTTTGATGGGCTTATTTGCATGATTTTTTAAATATGTATTTTGGGCTACAATTTTATTATCTGAGTGTTCTTTCATTTAATAGTTGGGGGGTGTTTCTTAAGGGCGTGGAAAGGTTATCAACCTGTATGCAGCACAGTTGTCCTGAAGATGGATTCCGCGTGACCCCTGGGAAGCACTCTCTGCCACATGACTAACCTAGAATCGACGTTAGGACCTTCAGAATCCAGCCACCTGGGCTCACACCCTTCCTCCTCCACTGCTAGTACGCGGAATGCATAGGAGGTCACGGCAGAGAGGTCGCTCATCCCCGTGGATTTGGTGGAGGAAAGGACAGCGTCAGGCAGCAGGGTTTCCAGATGTCATAATCGGCAGCTTTCGCCAGGGGGCGCTGCAGTTAACCAGGGGTCTGGCACTGCGCAGACTGCTAGTCACCCAGTTCTGCGCATCTTGGTGGCTGTCTCTGCTCCCCAGCTCTCCATCCTGGGGCCGGTGGCATGGCAGAACCCTGAGGTGGCGTCCACAGCGTTTCCTGGAAGCAGCATGTCCCTGTCCCCCAGATGCATGGGGCCCCGCCCAAGCCCAGCCAGCGGGCGGGATCCTCTGCTGCACCACGCAGTGCACTCCAGCGGGGGCGAAGCAGGCGCACCATGATCACTCATGTCACTTTTCAGTTCTGCACCGAGTGAATATAGTGTGAGGCTACAGTAAGCTGTAGCTGTTTTCATCTGCTGGGTCAGAGACGGCTGAGACTGGGTGTTTGTCCGACTGTTCTCCTGAGAGTGAATGAAGGTGCTGATGGCTTCCTCTGACTCCGCAGGGAAGGTGGTCTACGGAGAGCCCATAGCGGCCAGCCTGGGCACTGACGGCACTCACTACTGGAGTAAAGAATGGCACCACGCAGCCCACCACGTCATGAGCCCACCCCTGCGGCCAGACCCTTCCACACCGGGCTTCCTTATGAACCTCCTGGCTAAGTAATCCACAAGTGTTTTGCCGAAGATGTTTCCAAGTCTCTGGGTTGGGCGGAGCAGAGCCTGTCCTAGGTTGGGTTTGTGAACAGGAGTCTTCCGAAGCTCCGTTCCATTCCCCCAACCTGATGGTGCTAGGAACCCACTTCCCTCGAGAGCAAAGGGCAGCGCCTTTGCTGTGTCGTGCTGTGTCAGAACCCACAACCATCTGTACTATACTTCCGTCCTTCTCCGCTTTGCTTCATCGCCTGTCTCCCAGAACTCGGCTCCTTCATTAGGCCTTTTTGTGTGCTCTTTCTTTTGCTTCTTCACAGTCTACTGAACCCAGGGCCTTCAACAGGCAGAGCAGGCACTCTGACCGAGCTCTGCATCTCGCTCACAGTCGAAGACCCCTCACCCTCTGGGAGGGCTCCTCCTCTTTCTGGGGCGTCACACCCTGTGGGGACCTTGCCCTGTGGCCCTTCCTTGACCCTCAGAGTCAGTGCAACCAGGCACTCTGACCACAGAGCCCTTGAGTGTCCCTTGTCCCTTCCCTCAGCGCCCTGCATCCTTCCACAGCCCCAGGCCGTCCACAGCCCAAGCAGGCTCCTGTCCCTGGCACATCGCATACTGGTGGTGTCACTGCATGGTAGCTTGCCTTGGAGGTCGCAGTGTTGGTTCTTAGGTGGAGTCTACTCACAGGACTCTTCATTCACATTCTTCCTAGTGACCCTGATGCTGCTGGTGTCAGACATGTTCGGCTGCCAGTCTCTAAATGGGACAAGCTCATACTTAGAGCCAAGAGATGCAGAGGCTGAGCCTAGAGCCGAGACCTAGCCCATGCTGCTCTCCAGTGTGCTTGCTGGTAGCGTGTCTTAGACTAAAGGGGGCGGGGGGCGTGCATTTCCATGGAGTTCTCTGACTTTCACAGAGCTGCAGCCAGGAGATACGAAGGCTCCCAGGTTGACACGCCCAGCTCTCCCTTCCCTTCCCTTCCCTTCCCTTCCTTTCCTTTCCCTTCCCTTTCCTCTCCTCTCTTTTCCTGTCTTACCTTTTCTCACCTTTCCTTTTCTTTCCAGCGGTGATCTGACCACAACAGCGACTGACCACTGCACCTTCAACACCTGCCAGAAAGCTCTTGGGAAGGATGACTTTACCAAGATCCCCAACGGGGTGAATGGCGTGGAGGACCGGATGTCCGTCATATGGGAAAGAGGCGTGGTGGGTCTCCTGGGAAGCAGCCCCATTGTGCTCTTTCTCCACCCGGATCCTGGTGGGACCTAAGCCTTCCAGGGAGCCTCCTGCCACTGCTGCTCCATCTCGCCCTATTCCCAGGATAGCACCAGTGAACAAATTACTGTCCTCTCAGCAGGCTTGGCCCAAGGATGCATAGGGGACCAATTTAGATTGGGTGCAGGGAAGGTCACTGGTGACACATGAGGGCCCCTTTCTTCATTTCTCAGGTTCTTGATTCCCAACGCCACCTGGGCCATTAGTCTGGATTCTTGAAATGATAGGGTGCTCCTCTGGTTCATACTTCCCTCTCAGGAAGTCTTGGTAGACGCCTTTTGGAAAAATTGTGCGAATAAGGACAACCATAATTGACATGAAAAAGAACTCAGTCTAGGAAAAAGTATCTGAAAAATTCTGATGACTGAAAACATTGCTCCCTGGGGTAGGGAGGAACCCATGGCTCCGTGGCCATGCACTGTTGGCACATGCACTGCAGAAGCCAGCAGGGGAGGCAGCCTCGACCTGGGTCCTGCCCTGGGCCTGCCTCACCACCCCAGCAGCTCTCTCTGGGAGGACACAGGAATCCTCCATCCCCTGAGATTGTTCTCTTCTTCGGACCCAATTTTTCACCGTCTTACCAAATGCATTTCCAGAATTGCCTTTCTTTCTGCAGGCAGGGCTGCCAGTTTGATGGGGGCTCACAGTTTGTTAGGACCGCACAGCCTGTGTCTGTCCCCACATCTCACTGGCTGCAGTCTCATCTCAGTACCACTACCAGAGTTTCCACCCAAAAAAGAAGTTCCTTTCTGGCTACTTTCCACGCAAAAATCCTGTCACTTTCCCCACTCCTAAGTGGCACTGCTGACGTCCCCCGGAGCTCTCTGCTAATCGTCCCCCGCCAGCCTCTCTCTGCCCTCCCGACTCCACCTGTTCCTGGAGCTGCCCCTTTTCTTTCTCTTTGCGGAGATTTTCTTGGTAAAGGTCTACCCTTCCTCTTCGATTTGATGTTACTACAGTAAGTATCTTCGTTGCAGCAGCTATTCATAATCTGCTCTGATTTCCAGATATATAAATGGCTTTAAAGTGATTAAATACTTCTTAGTAGCACACATGAAGCTGTGTCACTTGCTGAAGCACTAGGATGGCTTATGTTGGGGACTATTACTCTCGGGCTTGGTTCTTGTTCTTTTTCTGAGGCCTGGGTGATTAAGTAAACCTCAAGATCACTCTTCCTATGTAAATATACACCAGGATAAGTAGGTCTGCAGCGCCTTTTCCACGTTGAAGTCTCTTGGAAGAGGCTACCTGCACTGGCTGCTTGCATCTTGGATATTCTCATTAGAGGCCTCACAGCTGCTGAGGGAGCAGCACAGCTCTCTCTTCCTGACCTTGCAAGCGCGCTCCCCGCTGTCTGTCTGGCCGTCTTGTACACTGCAGGTCCACAAGAAGCAAGTGAGGTCCCCGTGCAGTCCTTGGCAGCACGTAGCCGACCTCTGCAGCAGTCTCCCGCACTTCTGGATGAGACAGCAAGGGCTTGGCTTTTGAGCTCAGAAGTTTCTAGAAGTCACTGTTAGGCTCCCCGGGTGCCACTCTGCACTCCCTCATTATTATTCTTGTTTAATGCACCCCACCACCCAAGGGGGCCCTGCCTCTGAAATAAGAAATGAGGTGCAGTTCTGTTCAGTGTGAGGCAGGGCACTCTGCTATTTTTCCTGTCAGGAATTGTTTTAGTCTGTGATCGGTACAAGAAATGCGCTGTCTTTGATTTTTTTTTTTTTTTTTTTTCAACAGCATAGTGGCAAAATGGACGAAAACCGATTTGTGGCCGTTACCAGCACAAACGCAGCCAAAATCTTTAATCTTTACCCGAGGAAAGGAATAATCGCTGTGGGGTCTGATGCTGACATTGTGATTTGGGACCCGAATGCCACAAGGTGAGCAAAGTTCCTGTTCCCTGGCTTCATGACAGAGAAAAGCAACCGGCTGGTGCAGAAACTGCACTTCGGCCTTAGTCGGCCCTTTCCTATCAGCTGGTTTGTTTCACCGTCTCAGAACTGTGGAGCCTGTGCACAAGACAAGGTTTTGGTGGAAAAATGCTTCTTTGTTTTTCTTGGCATAGAGGGGCAAAAGTTGTGCTGCATTCTCTGGAAATGGATATGCATAGAAAACCAATACGAATTTTCTGCTTCAGCGACTGGCAAGTGCTGAGTGCACTGGGAGGGAAGGTACCAAGCGAAGAAGGAACTCAAAGGCTTAATTTGAAAAGGGCTGAATTGAAAATGCAGAGTAATTACAGCCTTTCCAAAGCTTTCAGATAGAACAATTCTAGCACAAAAGATGTCACTTTTAGTTAGCCAGATTTTCCAGTTGAGTTCATCTTGGGCCTCTTATTCCCAGCAGGCCGAGCTTTCCATTTCCAATTTCCATAATTTTATGTTACTACTTCTGACAGTCTCCACCACCTCGCGGGAGCGGGCCGGGTATGCTGGGGCTGGGAATTTCTCCTCGAAGGACGTTAGCCCACACAGCGCCTGCATGTGGATTCCAGCTTCTCCTCAACACTGCCCCTGTAAGAGAAGGAATCCCATGTGCATTCCCATATATTATAGTTAACTAAAGCCTGTCATTTCTTGGAGGTGACATTGTGATAAAAAGCCTATCCCCTGGGCTCTCCCTGGTGTATCCTGGAGGAAAAAATCACCACGGTGTGCCAAGTGGCTCTGCAGGGAGCCTAAAATGAATCCCAGTGTCTCTTAGGAGACACTGTCTTTGCCCGTCACTGAAGTCCCATCCAACCTCACTGTGCTACTAGGGGACCAGTTCATGAGGCTGTCAGGCCATGGCCACAAGGAGCTTTCAGATGAACGATTCACCTGGCGCCCCATCCCTGGCCTGTGGTCCCTGCAGAACCACCTAAAGTGACATAAGCATCTCATTTACAGAAATATCCGAAGACGCCAACCAGGCACGACTTGAGGGCTTTGTTATTATGTTAACCCGCAGTTATTGCCCACTTAAGAACTTCATCCCTGGTACAACCAAATGTGGCAGCTTCTCTACCAGGCTAGAAAAGTTATGCTTGGAAGCAGTGAGAAAGAATCTGCTAGGATTGGAGTGATCTGCAGATGGCCTGGGCGGGCTATGCTTCAGGACGTCAGGATATTTGCAGGACCAGCCAGTGAGGCCTGCTGCCCTGGCCGTAGTAACTCACATAACCCAGGCTGCTCTGAGCACAGAGACCAGGCGCATCCTCGAAACATGCGTTGGCTGAGGGAGAGTGTGAGGCTTAGTCGAAACCCTAGGAATTTCCAAGAGGCAGGGCAACTGTCTTGCGGAAGAAACGTATATGTAAACAGGATGATTTTTGAAGCAATTATTATTTTAAGAAATAATAATTACAATAATTTGTACTTACACAGCTCTCAGTGGACTTAAACATAATTTGGTATAAAAAATGTGTGATTTATAGATAAGACAGGTAGGATCACTTTATAACGATGAGGGATTATAGCCGAACAGCAGTGAAAGACAGCTTTCACGTGTTGAACGTTAATCCTGGTTCATCAGCATCGTCAGATTAAGCACCGCCCAGCAGACTGGCAAGCACGTTCCTGCTGCATCCTGGCGGCCATGGAGTCGTGGCCTTGGGCCCCACGTGCAGCCCTGGCCCCTTCCTCCCTGATCCTCTGCTGCCCTCTATGACCCACGTGGTTGAGCTCCGCCAGGCCCCTGTGCCTGGAGGCCCTTGGAGCAACACTCCGTGTACTGGTATCTCCTAAAACCGTGAGTAAAATCACAGCTCTCCTCCTTGAAGTGGTAGGTGTTGCGTTTCCTGTCCAGCCACAGACACAGGAGCCCTGGGCCTATGGCCTTGAGCCGACCCCCCGGACACCCACCGAGCCTCCTGGGCCCCTGCACCAGGCTTTCTCCTGGTGTCCACACCAACTGTTCATGTTCCATTTTTGTTCCAAGAAGGTGGGCCAGCAGCTGGTGCCTTCTCTGGATTGAACCCTCTTCTGTGTCAGTCCTAATCAGAGGTGTTGGGAAACGAAGACTGCTGAGGGGTGCCAACATCCAAGGAACCCAAGGACCCTGAAGGCCGGGGAAGCCACTTCCCCTCTTCAAGTCTCTGTCCAGGGTCTCGGGCTGGGCCCGGCCTTGAGGGTCCTTCTTGGCTTATGTAGTCACTTAGAACAACACAGTGGACAGAGAGATGATGGGTGGAGGGCTGTGAACAACTCGCTGGCTTTCCTTTCCACATACTGCTGTGGGGAGGATATTTATAGGCTGTGGTTACGTCTCCCTGAGTCATGTTTTCATACAGATTTAGCTCGCTCGCTCTCAAGTTCCAGCTACTAAGTTCTCTAAGATTGTCTTGTCCTTCTCTCTCTACTCGGCTGTTTCAGAATAGTACAGAATGGTCCAGATGCGTAGATATTTTCAAGATCTATATATTACCTACCCAATTTCCCTTATGTTTGGTCTAAGAATAACTAACTTAAGGGCAAACCAAAAAAAAAGCTATGCTCCTGGGCTTCTTTCTATCTCTTTTATCCATTCTTGAGTATATCTTATGTAATAGCTTTCCTTCATATAATAATGATAACAGGCAGTTAAATACGTGAAAGTGCCTGACACAGCTTCTGGGTAGAGATATCTGTATATTTCTCATTGAATTACTGAGTCTTCTTTAGTACGAGTGTGCACCAGAGCTTTGAACTCTCCTTTCTGCAGAGCAGCACAGGCCCACCGCTTCACCCGGAGGTCGCTGCAAGCGTCCGCTAGGCTGAGCAGGCGCTCCGGGTGCGGCACTCCGCACGTGTGGGGCCCTGGTTCAGCCTGTGGACACAAACACAGATGCACAATAAATGCAACACCCTTGGGGGCAGCTCTCACATATGTCAAAGGAGATTATTCATGGCTTTTGTGCCTTCCTCACTAGACATTCGTTAGAATCCTGAGAGGTGAGGGGTGTGGAGGGGCCTGAGGACCAGAGGAGTGTCACACAGGCAGGAGCTTGTGCTGCTACTGGTACGCTGTGCCAGGCTGATCGAGTCTCACTCTGCAAAAGTCCCCGGTGTCCACATCCTTGTTAATTGGCTCGTATGACCAGGCAGACAGCAACCACAGGTTCACTTTCTCTGACCTTCAGATCCTTCAAAAAATACCTAGAGAGCTTTTCATTTTCCTCTTATTTTACTGTTCTTTGGAACACTGAGAAGCACCCTTAGGTTTATTGAACCGCTGCAGGCCACTCTGGTTCTCTTTGACTCATTAGACAACTCAGTTCTTTGGGAATTTCTCTAAGTGTGCATCAGAACATTTCGCACCACTCCTGCTCCTCCTTTTCTATGTGAAGATGGCACAATGTGGGTAAAGAGGAGCTGGGGCTGTGGAGAGAGATGCAAGCACGGGCGTCTGGGGGAATAGACGGGAGAGTGTTGTTCCCACCACCGTCTCCTCACAGCGGTGCACTTTCCCTGACCCGCGAAGTGCCTTGTAGGCTAGCACTAACGAGAACCCTCGCTCCGTTGAGGTGTGCGGAGCTTTTGCTTTCGCCCTGGATCCCTCCCCATCCCACCTTGCGTTTAGTCCACGTGGGCCCTGAGTGTTCTCTCTGCCTTCAACCGTGAGGACCTGGAGGGTTTTCAGGAGTACTGGTGAGATGCTTTGTAGAAGGCCTCCCAGGCATCATTGTTCTGGCCTTCTCCTCACTAGCCACAGGTGTGAGGGTGGAAATCGCCAAGGAAAAGAGCAGCTTTGGCCATGTCTGTGATGGGCACCGCTGGTGGCCTGGTGCCTGGCTCTGGCAAGGGCTCTGCTTCTCCAGATGCAGACCTCTCTGTACCATACTGGGAGGAAGCCACCGTCACCCCAGTGCCCGGGCAGAGCCTTGGGCTGCTTTCCTGTCTCGGACATCAGAGACGCGGCTGGGCGGGTGCCGACCACGTGGGAGAGGAGATGGCTCCTCCACGTGTCTTGGTGCTGGTGAGGCATTGGCCAGGAGAGGGCAAAGCCACCGCATGAAACCGCCGGAGGAGACTGGAGGGTGAAGGTCAGCAGGTGACCTGGAGCGCACTCCGCAGGCCTGGCTTTCCCCAGCGTCTGCTCTGTCTCTGAGGGGCAGAGACAGGAGTTAGGAGGAAGGGCTTTCTTGACTTACTGAAGCCTTCGCCCTGGGGTCACACCTAGGGGAGCAGGTGAAGGATCTGAGGCACCGTGGGGCCCTGGGACGGAGTGGTGCCGTGAGAGAGGACAGACCAGGCTGAGGCAGAGAGAGGGCACAGAGGGCATGGGGCGTCTCCAGGCTTGAAGGAGTTTGGTACAGGCCAAGGCGATCTCAGGGACCTTCTCTTTCTAAAGCATTCTTTAGCCAAAGGAATACAGGGATCTGTTTCCTGCAGGAAACCCCCTCTCCGGTGTCGGCCCGATTTTAGTGTTAAATGCTTGCGTCTGTCTGACTTCACCCTTAGATACAGACCCCAGCTTTCCTTGAAATGGGTTTGGTGAGCGTCCTTGCCCTAACTGCAGGGACAGCCTGGTGTACCGCGTCCCTCAGCCTGCAGGGGACGCCCGCAGCCCGCCGAGGAGTGCACAGTCCGGGTCGCAGCGCGCGCCTCGGGAACCGCGAGCTGCAGGCTGCAGGACTGCGCGGTCAGGGAGCCCCGAGGGCGCAGGAGGACAAGGCCGCTCCTGTCTGCCCGCACTGGGGACTGTGACGGTCGTGACCCTAGGCAGGGGACACGGAGCAGGCCGCGGGGACATCAGCAGCACAGTCACCGCGCGGGAAGCAGGCCTGAGCTGGCGCATGCGTGTACAAGGTGTGCCCGGCTGTGGGAGGAGCGTGCGCCGCGCGCAGGAGCACCCCCCCACCCCCCGTACCCCGAGTGCCAGGCAGAGCTCTGAGTGCTGGCTTCGCCCCGCTGCCGCGGAA